CAACGGAATTTAAAAAAAAGAATAGCCTATTCCTCTGTCTCTCATATGGGTTTCATAATTATCTTTCAAAAAATAATACCTACAGTAGAAAGACTAATCAGTTATTTCTTTCATTGTTCCCAACATGCCAATATTGGCACTAATGGTACGTAAATGTAACTCGTTGTTCAAACAACTATTCAGAGTTCCTAGAGCTCCTCGTAAGGCTTGTTGGAAAACCCGTTGTCGGACTTGATTAATCGCCCTTTGCTGTTCAAACTGAATCGTTTCGTTTTTGTAATTTTCTAATTGTTCCAAAGTCTTATAAGTTGAATTAATCAAATTCAATTTTTCTCGTTCTATTTCAGAGTATCCATTCACTCGAAACTGCTCGGCTTCGCTTTCTACTTTCCGTAAGCGAGAACGAGCTTTTTCGAGTTGTTCAATAGCCCCTCCACGCAGTTCTTCTGAATTTCGAATAGTATTCAAGATCCTCTGTTTTCGATTATCTAATAAATCACTTAATGAAAGTAGATTATTTTTCCATTCCTTTCCAAAATTCCATAATCCCTTCCCGAACCAAACATGAATCTTTCGATTCATTTGGCTCTCACGCTCAATTACTTAAGGTAAATTCTCATATCTTTTTTTATGAATGTAATGAGCCTATCTTCTCTTCTTTGTTCATATTCCAAAAAGATATCGAAACTANCCTCACCTCCATATCCCTTCCTGGGTACCATTGTTGAACTTGCACTCCAAGCATTCCATCTTGGTCCTGCTCAACTTTTAACCCTTAAGACTTTAGGGTTTGCCTTCAAACCTCTAGGGTCCTGCTCAATTAAAATTATGTCATCGGTAAATAACATATACCATACCTCACCTTGAATATGTCTCGTCAATGCATCCATCGTCAAGGAAAATAGAAATGGACTAAGAGCTGATCCCTGGTACAACCCCATCATAACCAGAAAGTGTTCCGAGTCTCCTCCCGTTGCTCTAACCCGCGTCTTAGCTTCATCATACATGTCCTTAATCACCTTAATCACTCATTCTTGTCATGACCCCAATTTCTCTCCATAGGATGTCGTGATGGCACCTAGTTTTACGGACTAGGTAAGCCTAACACTTACCGAATTAAATGATTGAAATTAACCAACGAACTATTAAGCATAAACTAGATATTTCTAAATAAAGCCAACATTTCAAACATGACATAATATCCCAAAATTGGTAGTACAAGTCATAAGTTCTACTGAGTTTACTAGGAAAGTCTACTAAGTACAACTGTTCGGAAAGAAATAGACAGTACAAGTACGATATCAGAAGGTGACTCCGAGGCCTGCGAACACGACGACATGTTTACCTTGAATCTCCACAGTAAACCCAAACATTTAGCTAGTGATCAACCAACTCCGAAGTACCTGGATCTGCACAAAAATATGCAGAAAGCGTAGCATGAGTACTCCATAGCGGTACCAAGTACGTATCAAGACTAACCTCAATAAAGTAGTGACGAGGGACAATCAAGACACTTACTAGACTAATTAACTTGTACAAGTATGAATGTGAAACTAACAGGAAAACAATGTCAATTTAAAGCTAAGCATGGTAAAGTCAACAAAAACAATACTAGCAATAAAGCGCTAGAAACAACGATTAGCAACAGGGGACAAACATGTAAGAATACCATAGAGTAAGCTGAACATAATTTAAGTATGGTAAAATAGGGACCCGTAAAATGTGACTAAGAGGTGAAATACCTCAGGAAAATCTTTGAACCAACAAGCTTAATATCATATGAGCTACAAACATTGCAGTTACGTCTCAATCCCAAACTAGCAGGGATCAACTATATTAATCCTTAATTCATGTTCTAGGTTAAGCTATACTGAAGTGCCAACAAGCTTAATATCATATGGAGCTACAAACATTGACAGATACGTCTCAATCCCAAACTAGTAGGGATCAACTATATTAATCCTTAATTCATGTTCTAGGTTAAGCTGTACAGAAGTACCAACAAGCTTAATAACATATGGAGCTACAAACACTGGCAGATGTCTCAATCCCAAACTAGCAGGGATCAACTATATTAATCCTCAATTCATGTTCTAGGTTAAGCTGCACAGGAAGTACCAACAAGGTTAATAACATATGGAGCTACAAACACTAGCAGATGCCTCAATCCCAAACTAGCAGGGATCAACTATATTAATCCTTAATTCATGTTCTAGGTTAAGCTGTACAGAAGTTTAACACTTCAGATACGTCTCAATCCCAAACTAGCAGGGATCAACTATATTAATCCTTAATTCATGTTCTAGGTTAAGCTGTACAGAAGTTTAACACTTCAGATACGTCTCAATCCCAAACTAGCAGGGATCAACTATATTAATCCTTAATTCATGTTCTAGGTTAAGTTGCACTGAAGTACCAACAAGTTTAATATCATATGGAACTACAAACACTAGCAGATACGTCTCAATCCCAAACTAGCAGGGATAACTACATTAATCATTATCTATGTCACTTCATGTAACTTGCCTAGTCTCACTCCAATATTCAAAAATTTAGGTTATCTAAGACGAGAAGTTTTTAAAATTTTCTACATGCGTATAAATCTCTCTAAAGACTCCTACAGCGGAAAAGGCAAATGAAAACTTTGATCGATATTCAAGGGGAGAAAAGGGGTTGCATATCCTGATTAAGTTAATGTTGCTAGTGATGTACTGCTGCATCAACATCCATATAACCTCATCTAATCTAAAAACATGCATATGGATAATATACAAAATCCTATTTGGATAATATAAAACATAAGCAAGACTATCTCTATAGAGTTTCAAGTCAGAGAAAATGGAAACGCCCTGTGGTTTCTATTCTGTACTCTGGATGAAGTGGATGCAAAAACTTGTTAGACTAGTTAGAGAGCCACTTCCGTTTCCTTTCCTCGCCACCTAGAGCCATATGAGGTAGCAGAGTTGCCGAATGGAGGCTGATCAAAGACAGACCCAATAGAAGAAGCTGAGTTGTCATAATGTTCTGGATGGCCAAACTTACAAGCAGGTCCAAACTTGCAAATCCCATAACGGCTGTAGAATGAACAGACAGCTTGATCCTACACTTATAAAACACAATGAAATAAATCACAAGTTCACTACTATTTGGTTCATAATTGAGATTAACTGTTAGAATATACAAAATAAAAAAGAAGAGCCTTTTTATCTTGGCCAAGTACTGTTATGTCAACAGACAACCTTGAACAAACATCGCTGTAAGGAATTAAGAAGTGTTCCTTGAAGAAATTGCTTGTGCAGAGTCAGAGAGAATTCAGATATTAAAAGTGTTCTCAGACCCCAGCTAAATATCTTATTGACATAAGCCTAAAAAACTATTAATTTCTAAGAAATACCAACACGCATTTATATCTAGACAGAAGAAAAACTTACAGGTCTTAGTGGCAGGCCCTTGTCATTGAGAGCACTCATGTTTGTCTTAGATGTTTGATTCTTTCGATGGTGAAATTTGCAGTTAGATCTATATTTACAGTCTCCTGTTTTAATAAAGTAACTGCAATCAGGTTGACCTGGCCGTTCAGGGTATTCTTCAACAAGCCATGGCTGTTGAGCTCGGGTATAGAAGTTTGTCTTAGTTGCTGGATCCTTTCTTATAAATTCTGGAGGTGTAGGGAGGCTCTTCCCTGAGGTTGGATAGACTGGGGCCTGAATCACCAAAAACAAACAAATCAGAGGAAACTTATTAAACAATTTGCAAACATTCTACTAAAAAAGTAATATGATTACAAAACTAAGACAGATAAAGGATTATAAACCTCACTCAAAGTCAAAGAGCACATGACATCATAGAAAATCTTTTCTTTGTAGTGTATTTAACATATGTCCAAAACTCAGCTAGTTTCTTGAACCAAGACAGAATGACATGGCACATGGCTTGACTAACCGCTATTCTGTCACTTCAATAAGCTAAAAATATACTAGTATAATCCCTTCTCTTACATGTTAAATTTGCAGGGAATAGAAGTAACAGGATCAATAAATTCTGAATCTAAGAAAATACGGATTAACTGAAGCACTAAAGACACGATGACCCAACTTGCAGGACAAACCATAAACAGCAATTGTTTCATAAACAAGGCAGTTAAATTAAATAACAAAATTACCAGATATCCATTCCATTGAGGACTTAGAAGAGGAATGCCTTGACTTGCTGGATATACCACTGGTACAAAAGAAGCTGTCTCATTCAATGCTCTTGGCGAAGACCAGGAAGACCCTGCTGGGTAGGGAGCACTTTTTACTGGAGCAGATCCACCGTTGTTGTATCCGGAAGAAGGATCACCTCCAGCCACTGTAGATGGATCAGGATGATGAAACCTGCAATTGGATCCATACTTGCAGGAGCCAGTGCGCATATAGTAGGGGCAATCCTTCTCTCCCTGAAATGAAGACAAATCCCTTAAAAGCATAATTCTCAAATTCAAAAAGGTTGTGAATGACAGAAAGGAGCAATACCGGCCGAATTGGAAGGCCAAGAAAGTTAATATTCAGAACAGGTGAGATCGCACCCTTTCTCCTACTATGATAATATTTACAGGTATTTCCATACTTGCACCCTCCTTCTGTCAGGTAATACTGCAAGAAAATCAGTGGAAAAAGCAAAAAATTTAGCAAAACTAAAGATGCTATCTTCAATACATGTTGAAAGTTTGAGTACTTAACAAAAACAACGATGCTACCTTGCTATATGCAGCCAAAAGTAATGGAAAATTCATTACCCCTTTCGATATAGAACCTTTAAAAGTGAAGGGAATGCCTAGAAATACCTACTAACAAAAAGGAAGACCTCCCATGCATCACAGGTGGGGAACTTCTCCCTTAGCAATTACCTTGATTTTAAAACACTATGGTCATAACATTTACTTTCTCATACTACAACCTATTACAGCTTACACACTGGCTCCACTTGATGTGCCTCAACAGCTACTTTGGGAAAGAATTGTTACATGCTTTAACCAGGGCTCAAAATAATTAAAACAAGCAACACAGATAGAAATCCTAGGAGCAGTTCATATTAATCAAGTACTTTATCAAATAAAGACATATTCTAAGAGTCAATTCTAAGTGGCAAATGGAGATATCTCCAAAGATGGTCATTCTACATATTTACGTGCTAACTAGTTTTGCTTATAAATTGTTTTTATCTTTGTATGCAAGTTAGAATAAGTTATTATCTAAAGTCATTATGTTCAAACTATATTAACTATGACATTTTGCTATGTTCTCTTCATCATCTCATGAGGAGCAGGCAATAAAACACAAGTTTTTAAATAAATATGTTAAATCCTACTTATCGATAATGCACCCTTACTATTCTAAGCCAAACTAGTTCACTAACCCAATAATGTCAGATTGTATTAGTCATGCAGCCAAATCACCAGACATAGATAGATCAAGATGACTATCCATACAAAAAAAGTATGTAAGACCTGATTTTTAACATAAATCGTCTCTCAAGCTTGATTATTATTCACAATCGGGCATCACCTAATGTGTCTTTGGAATATATTAAATGGTAGACAATAGATGCACGTAAATAAACAAGTTTATCACTGGATATCAAAGAGGCTCTATTTTAAAAAACAATAACATTAATGTTTACATTATGATACTCAATATTCAACATCAAACCAAATTATTCCCAAAAAGAGCAAGCATAGAAGAAACAAGGATTTTCTTCCTCTATCCTGTTTCTCAACTATGATAAATTCCATAACCTTGCATTCAATCTGCCCTGCTCTTTCCTCGCTTTCGTCCTTTTGCTTGCCCTTCTCCATCGCCCATTGCTGAAGAAGTCACAAATGAACTCAATAACGTAATCATCACCAAATATTTTTAACATATAACCAAAATATTGTTTTTTGATACGGTAAGTAAATAACATCTAACGTAAGCATATGACTAGTAAATGCGAGAAAGACCACCACAAAGATCAACATAATCTCCAGACAACCATCCTACTAAATCAGACAAAATTCTAATCCTACTCATCCTCTCACATAGATGTCAACTAAAAGCCATTAGAATACCACACATTTCAATGCGTAATTTATCATGTCCCATAATTAATTATGAAGTAGAAATCTGTTAGCTTGCACGCCGAATTCTATCATTACTTCAGAAGTGCAATAACAACCACGATCAACCTCGAAATAGTAGGTGTCGGCCATATGAATCCTCATATCCACTTGGCACCATTTGGGCCCACTTCATTCCCATTACTCCATGTGCACGAGAAACAAATTTAGTAAACCTGTAATTTTACAAACAAATAAGTACAACACCACAATCCTCTATTTTTTTACGACTGAGAATCCTCAAGGGCCAGTACCGCAGGGTTTGAAATTAGGTGAATAATGAGCCCGCCCCTTTATCTTTCTCCACTTAAATACCATGCTTTTGTCAGCAGCGGGTATAAACCCAACATCACCTAGCCTAATTCACACATCAAATGCTGCATTCTTAATACTAGACATCCTCTACTATTAACATCCACCCACAGCACTCATTTTATTCAACAAATATCATTAACTCAATCCATAAAACATAGAATAAGCATAGATAAACAACTTCAAAATCAACAACAACAAATCCAATAAAGCCACACAAGTGGGGTCTGGGGAGTTAGTGTATACGCAGATCCTACCTTATCTGTTTCCGGTAGACCCTTGGAACAGAAAAGGGAAAACAACTTCAAAATCAATCAAAAAAAAGGAGACCCACTTCAAACCCATCACGTCATACCTGATTTCGTCTTCGGGAAGGGTGATTAAACTTGCAATTCAATCCGTATTTACACGTCCCTGTTTTCATATAATAAGCACAATCTGCAGCATCGGGTCTCAACGGGTAATTCAACCCCTTCCTATTCCCCTTAAATCCCCATTGCTTCGAGCCCGTCACATCACTGTTCTCATTTTCCACGTCGTTCTCATTTTCATATCCATTTTCACTCCAAGTATAGTCACCACCTCCATAATAATTATCTCCGCACTCATTTTCAGATTTTTCTCTTCCATTCTCTTCATGATTTTCTCCTTGTGATCTCTCTTCGATATAAGCCTGGTTCAAGACTAGACCCTGAAGCTCTTTGCAGATGAATTGCAACGCTATCTCATCGTCATCGTCGTTTTCCACAGCGTCAGGTAGATTCTGAGGAGGGTTTTGAACACTGGGATCCGATGAAAACAAAGGTTGAGGATCAAGCCCTACGTCTTGTTTTTCAAGTGTAGAGTCATTTAGATTTTGAATGCGTTGTTGTGATTCAATGGCTTTCATTGTTGCACCTCTACAGTTCAAACTGTAAAACCCTGATTCTGCATTTTCTGCAGAGTGAGTGAGGGAGAAGCGGACAGTAGCCAAAATCAGTCAATCAAAATCAGTGGCGATTGTGACCCCTTCACTTATTTATAACCTTTTTTTTTCTTTTCTTTTTCTTTTTCAATGTTCTTTTTGCTTTTTCTTTTTATGATTTCATGCTTTGCTTGGAGATTTTAATGAATAGTTCATGTATATGAGGGAAAAATATAATCTCAAAAAAGCTATTTTTAATCTTAGCATCTTTATTACATTAATGACACGTGATTGGGACTCACTTGAACATGGCAGAGTTCAAACGTCTCTAGCCATAAAATAACACTATATATACAAAATTAATACTCCTCCGTTTCAATTTATGTGAACTTATTTCCTTTTTAGTCCATGCCAAAAAGAATGACCTCTTTTCCTATTTGAAAACAATTTACTTTTATGCAATGATTTATAGCCACACAAAATATACGTGCTTTATTTTACACCACAAGTTCAAAAGTCTTCTCTCTTTTCTTAAATTTCGTGCCCAATCAAATGGGTTCACATAAATTGAAACGGAGGGAGTAATTTTTTATGTATCTATAGTAGTTGTTGAATTCCCTTTAACTTATGGTTTCATCTTGTTAATAACAATTCTGGCTTGGCCACTGCATTTGAAATATTAAAAAAAAAAAAAAGAACTCCCACCACTAATCGAGTTTGTAGAACGCAATAAAGCTATCCCCTCGCTTGTCTTCTCACAATAATGGTTACTCTTCAAATTTTAGAACGATCATTATATCATATCGGATCTTTTTTTCGAAAAGGAAATTTTCATATTTAGAAATCATATTAAAACACAAGTTGTATTCTCATAATGAATTGAAAAAAATGTAAAAAGCTGTATTCAAAATCTTGTTTGACCTTCTGATATAGTAACAACGTTATATTTTAATTGAGAAGAAATTTTGTATACTACCAAGAAAATGGAGCAACAAGTTGGCTTATGGCTTCACACGACTGCGTGGTTCTCTATAGGCCAATTTGCAATTGTGTCCACCTTCACTTAATTTTTATTTCACGCGGATGAACTTTCTCACGGATATATGCCCCCTTTGTTTTTTTTTAATCATAAAAGATTACTGAACTTCATTACTACGTTGCAAAAGATACAGTGGGCAATGTGCTCTGGGCACCAGTGATGGCTGATGTTACAGGAGTATCTACTACTGACCTATGATCCATAGTTGGATCAGTACAAAAACTACTTACTGCGGCAATGCTAGGATCCATAGAAGGATTAGCACAAAAACTAGCTGTAGTGTTTCTTGAGGGGAGAGCAGAGATCATGCCTGTGCATGGATTTACATTGTGGGGAGTAGGGGGTGTAACAAAAACGCAAGAGTTTACAAGTCTCCATCTCTCTGGGTCTGCTTTGTCCGACTGGAAGTCTTGATAGACCAAAGGTGGTGGCGCATCAAAAAGTTGTATGCCGCTGCTGCATGCTAATTGGGTACCATAATTTGCTAGACCATCAGCTACCATATTTGCCTCCCTGTATGCATGCTGGAGAAGAGGATCACCCAACTATCTGAGCAGCAACCTGCAGTCATTAATCAAGTTAGTGCAGTGAGGATTATTTGTATGGATTAATGTGATTACCTCTTTGGCATCAAGATTAATCTCCGCTGGGTAGTAACCATGCTAAAGTAATGCTGTTAGCTCCATCTGTATGCTAGTGCCAAACTCTATAGGTTATGAATACCCTAATATCCCGTTCCCATAAGAGGATCTTATGACCCCTCCTATTCCATTTAACTCTGAAGTCCTAGAAGCCGTTCCATCGGTGTTTAATTTGTAGTAGTTGTGGGGGTGGTGAATTCCATTTGATGTAGAGAGGTGTGGGTTGTGTATTCCTATGTAACCGCGATACGAGGAAGTGTAACTCCACAACTCTATTAATAATTTGTAAGTAGGGAACATGAGTAGAGCGTTGATGAAAAAGATTTTGGTTACGTTGGAGCCATCCAAACAACGTTTTTTTGCAACTTCTAATATAGTAAAAACAGATATAAAAAAGGTATACATACCCAATGTTTATATTTATTGTATTAGTTCACTAAAATTAAGTTGAGAATATGTAACTAATTATGATTAAGTAAAATATTTATGAGAATATTCATCTAATTTTTTATTAAGTTAGTTATGGAGGATCGGCAAATTTTTTCGACAAAAAGTATAAGCCAAAAATGGAACTGCTCCTCTTGTTTATGACTTCTCCGATCCACAATAAGTAACAAATTTGCCTTGGGCACACCCCTTAAGAAAATACTAAATTCTAAACAAAAATAATTATTGTGACTAAACTACCATTAATTAAATGTTGCAGTATAACTTAATGTGAGGAGTAAAAGACTTTTTAGGAATACGTACATAAGGGTGATTTTGGAAAAATAAATTAAATTTTTTCTTGATTATATAAATATACATTTATTTTGGACCAAAATAAAAAAGTAAATTGGTCACTTAGAAAGGGAGGGAATATTCTTTTATTCTTTTTCTAAAATTAATATCTTCTAATGAATAGATGAACCACTAACTATTAATACAAAAAAAAAAAAAGTCAAATGCTGTCCCAGGGCAATGAAAATCGCGTGTACGTTAAGCTCAAGCAAGTGGTAAGTTTTCAACCTCTGGTCTAATTGAATGTGGTTTGAAAAATGAACTAATATTTGAAAAGGATCGATAGGTAGATAATAAATGTAAACTCAGCAGGGTTGCAAACACCAAGTCCGAAACCAAAATGGTAAATTTTTGGACTTAAAACACGTTTCTACAATTTTTTTTTTAAAAAGAATGTTATTTTTCTATGTAAAACGCAGTATTATACAGCGCTTTACTTTAACGGAATTTCGTTTTACTTTAACAGAATTTTAGCCGTTAAAGTAAAGTACAATAGTGCAGTATTATACTGCGTTTTACTATAGCGCAGTATTCTTGCCTCTCTCTGCTGATTTGTGGGTTATGGCGGAACGACTTTGAACTCTAAACTGCTCATTTTAGCACATTTCTTTCACTTGGGTCTTGCTTGTTTCCCTGGTTGGATTGTGTATTTCTAAACAATGGCAACTGCTGTGCATTTTAGCAGCTGTGAGAGAAGGAGGAGAGGAGCAGTTAGAGTAACTTTGTTCTTGCTTTATTTCTGTGGTTCTGTAATCTCGCTATTTAGGGGATTTAAATTTTTAAGACACTTCAAAATTTATATAAATTTTTAAGACAAAAATATTAAGAATGGGGTAGAAGGTACACTTTTGTTATTAAAATTAATGATATAATTTTTAAAACCCCCAAAGTTTTTTTATTTACAAAAACATCCCCCTCCTACTCCACCCCGATGGATGTTTCAAACATCCCAGGGATGTTTCAAACTTCACGGGAGATGTTTTATTTATCCCGATGGATATTTCAAAAATCACGAGAGATGTTTCAAAAGTCACGAGGTTGTTTCAAACATCCTGATGGATGTTTCAAACAACCCGGGAGATATTTCAAACATCTCGATAGATGTTTCAAACAACTCTAGAGATGTTTCAAACATCCCGGGATATGTTTCAAACAGCATCCCCCTCCTACTCCACCCCGATGGATGTTTCAAACATCCCGGGATATGTTTCAAACAGCATCCCCCTCCTACTCCACCCCGATGGATGTTTCAAACATCCTGAGGATGTTTCAAACTTCACGGGGAAATGTTTCATTTATCCCGATGGATATTTCAAAAATCATGAGAGATGTTTCAAAAGTCACGGGTTGTTTCAAACATCCTGATGGATGTTTCAACAACCCAGAAAATATTTCAAACATCCCGATGGATGTTTCAAACAGCTTGAGAAATGTTTCAAACATCCCAGGATATGTTTCAAACATCACGAAGAGGATCCCGGGATATGTTTCAAACATCCCGGCAACAAGCTCCCAAGTACCACTCATATGTAAAGCAGACATCTCGTCAATCATAGCCTCTCGCCATCCTGGATGAGACAATGCTTCACCTGTAGACTTATGGATGGAAACAGAGGATAAAGAAGATATAAAAGCATAATAGGGTGATGATAAACGATGATAACTTAAACCGACATAATGAGGATTAGGATTAAGTGTGGTCTGTATACCTTTTCCGAAGTGCAATCGGTGTACTAGGAAGAGACAAGTCCGCAGTAGGAGTATGGTCAGGTGCAGGACTTGAATCAGCTATTCTGATGCTGGGCGCGGATGACGATGATAAGTCAAGAGTGGTGTTCCTGTGGATGAGGCTCTAGGAGGAGCCACACTAGACTCCCCAACGGTTGAAATGAGTAAGACTTCTTTGGCAGAAGGTGAAGGAGGAGCTATAGTGAACTCTTCAAAGGTCGGTATAGGTAAGACCTCAGATATATCGAGGTGGTCAGAAGAGGTAAAGAAAGGTTTAGACTCAAAAAATGTGACGTCAGCTGACATAAAGTACCTATGAAGATCAGGTGAGTAACAACGATATCCCTTCTGAACACGACAATAACAAGGAAGATACACTTGAGAGCACGAGGAGCTAACTTATGTTTCCTAGAGGCTAAGTTATGAACGAAACAAGTGTTCCCAAAAAACACGAGGGGGAAGAGAGTATAAGGGTGACTGGAGAAACAATACCGAATACGGAATCTGATTCTGGATGGGAGATGAAGGCATCCGATTAACCAAATAATAAGTTGTGAGAACTGCATCGCCCCAAAATGCAACAGAACATGAGATTCAATGAGAAGTGTGCAAGCAGTCTCAATGAGGTGCCTATTCTTTCTCTCTGCAACCCTATTTTGCTGAGGGGTATAAGGACGAGGTCTGATGAATAATTCCTTGAGAAGTCATAAACTGCTGAAATTGAGAGGATAAATATTCTAAGGCATTATCACTGCTAAAAGTGCGAATAGAAACACCAAATTGATTTTTGATTTCAGCACAAAAATTGTGGAATATACTCAAAACGATCTTTCATTAAGAAAAGCCAAATACATCTTGAATAATCATCAACGAAACTAACAAAATAAAGGGCCCCATATATAAT